CTCTCAGGTGGGGCCTGGGGCCTTGTCACCTGCACTGGCTGCTGGTGCTCTGCTTGAGAACTGTGACCCTCAGCAGAGAAGTGTCCTAACCAGCGTTTCAGACACCGTGAGGGTCAGCTCCCCACAGTCCCCACCCACCACGGTAGTTTGAGTACAGGATAGTTTGAGGACAGGTGAGTGGGAAGGTCACATAGAGAGGAGAGAGGACAGTGTCCCTGCTGGAGGCTGGAGGGGGAGAAGACTTGGCTCCGTCTCTGACTCAGAAGCCACTGCCACTGGCTCAGAATGGTGGCAATAAAGAGCCCACGAAGCTCCACCCAGAGCCGAGGCGGGAAGAGACCCTGTCCTGGGGCAGCTCACTCTGAACAGCCAGCCAGGGAGAACCCCCAGCAGCTGCATCGGCCCTCCTCTTTCGGTAATGACACCCACTGTCACTTGCTGAGGCCCTCATGGCCAGGCACGGAATGACTGTGCAGTGTCAGAATTGTTCCCCATTTAATAGTTGAGAAAATCAGGCTCAGGGAGATTAAATAACTTGCTCAGGGCCACCCAGCCAATTAGCAGAGAGACCAGGACTAAAGCCAGGCCCGTCCAAGTCTCGTCACTGTCCTCACTTCTGACACCAGTTTTGTTTAGCATTAACGACTGCCCCCAGGGGCAAGCGTACAGTGTGCCTAGTAGACTTGTCACTTTCTCGTCCACATCTTGTAATATTTCACACAAACTAATATCCTGCCGGGCCAGGCCCCGGCTGGGGGCCTCACTCCTTCAAGTGTCCCCACCAGCTGATTCCCCGAAGGGGCCAGGACTTTCAAAGAGCCATCCTGTATGTCCCTAGAAGGTGGCCTTTGAAGAACTGGGAAGCCACACTCCCTGTCACTGGCTCCTCGCCATTTCAGTGAGAAACTCTGAATTCAGCTCCCTCATTTTACAAATGAAGAAACCAAGGCCCCAGAAAAGAATGGGATTCTTTTTAACTGTGTCGTTGAGACAGAGCTTCAAACTCCACATCTAGTGGCCAGACCCCTCCGTCCTTCCCGTCCTCCACCCTGCTCTCCCTGCCTGTCCCCTTCTGCTGCGCTCCTTGTCCCCTTCCTTCTCTTGCAGCCCTCCATTCACCCCCACCTTTCCTTCCCTTCTCCTTCCTTCTTCCTGAGCGTCTTGCCCTTTGGCCCGCTCCCTGTTGGCCACTCTGTACAGCTTGGCCATTCGTCCATTCTGCGTCCCCCTTTGCAGGCCGCGGTGGGGCAGGTCTAAGCACCAGCCCCAGGGCTTGGCCTCCTGGCTTCTGCCCCTCACCAGCTTCCTCCTTGCCTGCGTGGGGCCTGCTCTGCTAGCCATTCCTGGGTGTCCCCTAGGTATTCCAAGACCTCTCCTGGGCATGCTCGCAGAGAGACCCTGGACCCTGCCGTTGAGGGCCTCGGGCTTCCAAGGCGTCACCTCCGAGGAGTTTGATCACTAAGATTTTGACAAAGGGACTCTGCCACAGCAGCCCAGCCTTGGGCAAGGCAGCTCCCCACTCTGCGATTCCCTGGCCTCATCTGTAAATCGCACCAGGGTCGCTCTACATTATCCTTCCACGAGCAGATGAACATTCAGCGCCATTAAAGAGCTTCTGCAAAGAGAGCAAGAGCCCAGCGACTGTGTTCACCTGAACTCCATGGCGGCTGTTCTGTACATGCTCTTCAGGCCAGTGAGCTGGTCCTCCCGCCAGCTTCCAAAAGCCCAGCGTCCAGGTCCTGAGGGCTGACCATACTAAATGCCCTGGCAACCCAAGAAGCCTAAGTATCATCAACATTGCTTATTAATTTTTTTTTTTTACTGCTCCAATCAACGTAAGGGAAACTTTATTGAGAACCCAAGGCCATGCATGGGGCTTGGACAGGAGGCCACCCTTTGGGGAAAGGAGCCAGTGGAGGGGCTTTATTTGACCTTCTTGGGGCGGAGGTTGTTGGTGTGGCCAACTTTTACTTGCAGCAGCTGACAGCACGGGGGTGCAGGTGGGCTTAACGCTTGTGACAGATCATCTTGTCACAGCTGTACTTCTGGGCAAGTGTGCAGGGAAGGCTCAGTGATGCCACCTCGCAGGTGAAGCGCCAAGTGCAGGTGGACTTTCTGGAGGTTGTGACCTGAGAGTGCAGCTGTCCTCCAGCTGGTCAGGTGCGATGCCCTCCTTGTCTCGAATTTTGGCTTTGACATTCTTGATGGCATCACTGGGCTCAACGTCGAGGGTGATGGTCTTGCCTGTCAGGGTCTTCACAAAGATCTGCATCTCTGCATCCACTCAGGAGCCTCGTTGAAGAGAAAGAGTGGTTTATTAATTTTTATTAAGGAGATAATTCATTCTGATAGCTGATATGCTCCCTTTCCGGGAGAGAGAGCATGAGAAATGAATTCAGTGTCAAAGGCTTGCTGGACAAAGAGGGCAGAGGTCATCTGTGGCACACTCCTGAGGGTCAGAAAACTGAGCCCTGGCCCCCAGGGATACTCCAGCAGTTTAGGAGGTGGGGAGTCGCTCCCTCAGGAGCCCCAGGCCTGCACATAGTGCCATGTGTCCTCCTGCAGGACATGGCTGGCCTCTGCAGGGGGTGCTGCACGTCCCCATCTGCCTCGGTGCCATCACACCCTTCTGCCATGCCCTCATCCATTTCTCCTCCTCTTCTACCCACTCCTGACCCTCAACAATTTGACATCTGTAAACTCCCCCTGGTACAAAGACTCCACTGGAAGCCATGGAGCCCATGAGCCATTTGTGTACCAATGACTTGGTCCTGCAGACTTGCTACACTTTCTGCACTGACCTTGGCCTGCTGTAATTGAAACACCTGCAAGATGAAAAGCCCTTTCTCCTTCCCTTCACCAGGCTGGCACCAGAAACCCCTCGGAAGCCCTGGGAGTTCTCCAAAGGCAAACGTGCACAGCCTGCCACCTTGTGGCTGCCTGCAGTCCTGCAGCAGCCCTCGCCCGACACAGCACAGACCCAGCTTCTCCCAGGCGCCCCAGGGAGACTCCAGACTGCTAGGAAATGAGCACTAGAGGGAGGAGCGGGGACCGGGCTCTGATTTTCTTCCTGTTTATTTGACCCACTGTCCTGAGTCCAGAGTAAGAGCCCTGCTACTGGCTGAGGTTGGAGAGGGTGGCAGAGGAGCTGGGCAGTGTCTCCACTCACCTGTGGGACACCTGGGTCATCAGGCCTGCAGAGGCCTTGGACTGACCACGCAGGCTTGGCAAGGCCAGCTCACCTGTCTGTCCTTGGCCTGACACTCAGCCTGAGCCTCCCCAAGTGTGTCCCATGTGACTTCTTGGTCTCTTTGAGCTCTGCTATCGTCTCTACACAGGACCATCCCAGAGCAAGGAAGAGAATTCCATCTCTGGGGGCCTACAGCACAGCTTAGAGCAGGGCAGAGTAACTAGAAAAACTGGCCCTCACCTCGTCTGCACCCAGGAGGGGCCCTGATTTCCACTGTCTGCAGCCAGGAATCCAAGGCAAGCCACACACATCAGGCCACCATGTTAAAGGGGCCCAGTGCACCTGATAAGCCGTCAGATACGACTTCTCACTCCAGGAGCACAGAGTCAGCAGCTGAGGCCCCCTGGGGTGGTCACTGTGGCCAGGGGAAAGCCAGTGTGGAGCTAGCAGTCGAGAGCTCAGGCCTGGGCCTCGCAGTCATGATGAGGTCCAGATGCTACCACCTACTGGAATTTCCCTAGCTTCGCCCTACACCTCAGTTTTCTCATCTGTGAATTAGGATAATGACATCCTCCTCTTACCACTGAGAGGACTGAATGGCACGGCAATTCCCGAGCACCCTCTCAAGGCCTGGCCTGTAAGCAGTGACAGTCTTCACTGCCTGTTGTTCACCTTCTACGGCCAACACATGGTCTGCCACAACAATGAAATCAGTGTTCAACCACCCAAGACAGGATTCTTGGCACTTAGCCACGTCTATAGCAAAATCCCAGAGCTTGGGTTGGCTCATTTGGGTTTTGTTGTTGTTATTGTGGTTGTTTGGTTCTTCTTTTGGGGTTTGGGTTTTTGGTTTGGGTTTATGTGTGTGTTTGTGTGTGCATGTGGAGGGTACTGGGGATTGAGCCCAGGGATGCTCTACTACTGAGCTACACTCCCTTTTCTTTTTATTTTATTTTTTTGAGACAAAGTCTCACTGAACTGTCAAGGTTGGCCTCAAACTTGCCAGCCTCTCACCTCAGCCTCCCAAGTGGTTGAGATCATTGCTGTGCACCCCTGTGCCCAGTTCATTTGTTTTCCAATGAACGTTTGTTTTTCACAGTTCTTGAGGCAGGGAAGCCCAAGACCATGGCATTGGCAATTTTGGTGTCTGGTAAAGACCCTCACATAGGAAAAAGGGCCAGTGCTTCTGATATTTCCTTTATAAAGTCACTAACCCCATTCATGAGGGCTTTCTCTGATCTCAGAGGCCCGGCCTCCTGATCCCATCCCCCTGGGGCCGGTTCCACATAGGAACTCTATGGCACAGCAGATCTGCTCCTGCTGAGGGCCCCCTTCCTGGCTGGCCACACCTCCTCCTCGTAGTGTCCAGGGAGAGACTCAGGCAGAGTGCTCTGGCCTCTCCCTCCCTCCTCATAAGGACACTAACCCCATCTTGAGGGCCACCTTCAAACCTCACCCAAACCTAATTACCCCCCAAGGCCCCACCTTTAAACGCCATTACACTGGGGAGTGGGACCTCAACATAGGAATGTGGGAAGGACATGCAGTTCACAAAAGCTGCTGGATATAAACAACGTAAACCCTGCATTCTCTTCTTTTTTTTTTTTAAGAGAGAGGGAGAGAATTTTTTTAATATTTATTTTCTAGTTTTTGGTGGACCCAACATCTTTATTTTATTTTTATGTGGTGCTGAGGATCGAACCCAGCGCCCCGCGCAGGCTAGGCGAGCGCGTTACCACTTGAGCCACATCCCCAGCCCCTGCATTCCCTTCTTATCCCCTCTAACTTTGGCTTTTGTCGGTTTTTGCAGTGTCGTGAGTGCCAGAAAGGTCTCGCCCTCGCCCTGCCCCAGCCCGCGCAGCCCGGAGCAGAGCAGCACTGGCACCTGGCTGGAAGGCAGGTTGGTGGCCTCCCTCCCTCTCGATGCCTGTGACGGCCTCTGCAGTAAAAGTCACATTCTCTTCCCCCAAAGCCGCCCAGATGGAGCCCAGGGCTGGCCCCCGTCCTGTCCACTGGGGATCCCATGGAATCTCTCATGCTTTCTGATTCTCAAAGCTGGGGAGTTCTCTCCCAGGGCACCGGGTCCTTGTCCAGCAGAGGTGCTTCAAGTTCCTTGTGAAGAATGTACCTGAAGTCACACAGGAAAGAGGAGCCAGCCCGCGGGCAGTTCCAACCAAACCCACCAGGCCCTCTGCCAAAGCAGAGCCGGCCGCCTGGCCCCAGCCAGAAGCCTTTTGCTTGGGGACTGAACAGAGTTGCTAAGGCTCCTGGCCTGAGTGCTCTTGGTGGCCTTGACTACAGCGCCCACTCACCTGGCAGGCCTCTTCCTCTCCCAGAGCTCGCGGAACCCCACCATGGTCCCTCCCCTCCCGAACCCAGGATGGCCAGCAGCTCCTGCTACAGGGCCCCTCGCTGAGCGGCAGCTGGAATCCCCACACCCAGAACCACTCGTGATCATGGCCTTGTTAACAGCCCTCCTGGCCTTCTAAGGCAGTGGTGCCAGTGGTGGAGTGACGGGTGTCAGGCTGAGGATTGGCACAGCCAGGGGAGTGTGCTACTCTGACTTTTCTTAGAGCAATCTAGAAGTCCGAATGGAGAGAGAGGAGGGGAAGGGTGCAGACCTCCCTCCCTTTATAAGGGATTCCCTGAAAATCCCACACGAGCTTCTGCTCACGAACCTCCCTGGCCACACAGAGCTGCAAAGGATTCTGGGGAGGCTAGCTTTTTTTTGTACTTAGCTAAACATGGTTCTGTTTTTTGGGGAGACACAGGAGATTATGGATCTCAGCCTTGGGGGCAACTAGCTAGACCATGGTGGGGGAGTGTATATGTATTGGGGGGACATCCTTAAAGATGTCACATCTAAGAAGAGAGCTGGGTAAAAGGAGGTTGGTTTGGGAAAGTCCAGGATGAGGACAGGTGTGGAGGTGAGGGATGGAGACAGAGGTGGAAGGAGAGGAGATAGCGAAGGCAAAGGCCCTGAGGCTGGGTGGGGCTTCACATATTCAGTAGCAGAAAAGAGGAAGAGGGTCAGGGTGGCCCCAGGGTCGTGTGTGGGCACAGTGGGTGGGAGATCCAAACACCCGCAGGACCTGGAAGGTCACTGGATAGAGTTTGAATTTTACTCCAAAAGTCATGAGAGGAGTCTAAGCCAGGGAGTGCATGACCCAATGTGCTGATAAAAGGACAGGAGTGGCTGTGCAGAAGGTGGGAGGGAGGGAGAAGGAGGCAGGCTGTCATACGCACCTGGTGAGAGTTACTCCCCACAAATGGGAACACATTTTGGAAAATTGAATGCTGAGTCCCACCATAAGGAGTAGTAAAGTGCGACATGTCACTGTCCCCAGCATCCCTGAGAGGACAACTTCGTCCGTCCCTCTCACCGGAGACAGCCAGACGGACTCTGACATCCTGGCATTCCTCAAGGCCAGGCAGAACATTTTGCAGAAGAAATGTAAGTGCTCCCCAGGGCCCAGGGCCCACTCTGCTCACCAGCATGGGGGCGGCATGGGGAGGCTGGAGTGGACAGCCCAGTGGGAAGGCAGCAGGAAGCATCCTGGGCTGGGCCCTTCCCACGTGCTGGCCTCTGCTTCCCCCTGGAGAAGGGACGAGAATGGCCCAAACAGGCCCGAGTGCAGTAGAGCCCACTTGGCAGAGCCTCTCCCTCTCCAGGCCTTCCGCTCCGTTTGTTCCTTGTCCCTGAAGGCGGCTCTCTCTCCTGCCCAGCCTTCTCCAAACAGGAAGGGCCTGAGCGATGCGTGGTGGTTTGTGGAATCCCCGGCTGGAACTCTCGCTCTCCTCCTGGAGCGTGGTTCTTGCCAACAAGTGTGGATGTAAACACCACTTGAGGGCCCAGGCCCCAGGACACTGCATCAGTCATGGAGGAAATATGTGTGGCGTGTCAGACGACAGGAAGACAAGGAGAAGGCCCTTCCTGGCCCTTGTCACTGGCCTGCCCCCTTCCTCTCAGCAGCTGACCATCTCTATCTGCTGTGGACAGGCCACTTCTCCTGCATTCCATGCCCCAGGGACAAGGCCCAGGGCCTCCTGCTCCAGCCCTGCACTTAGTCTTAGCCTTACCCCATAATCCAAAGGCTCCTGGGCAGGCTCAGCATTGCCTTCCCATGCCAAAGGAGCCCCGCCTTGACAGTGTGTGTGTTACTGTACCAAAATACCTGGGACTGGGAAACTTAATAAAGAAAAGAGATGCATTCTACTTACAGTTACAGGACATGGCACTCGCATCAGCTCAGCTGTGGGGAAGACCTCATGGTGGACGGGAGTGACAGGGAGGGCCCACACACAAGGCCCAGAGCCAGAGTGACTCAGGAGTCAGGTTTGTCTATAGCAACTCGTCTCAAGAACTAGCTCGAGGCCCCCAGAACTGCCTTACTCCCTGCTGAGGGCACACCCAGGACCTACGGGCCTCCCCCGAGGCCCCACTCCCAGCATGGCCACGCTGAGAGCAGGCCTCCAACACATGGACCTGTGCAGACTCAAACCACAGCAGCGGGACAGGAAAGGCTTGGCTCTCGTGGCTCACACCTGCTCAGAGGCCGCCTCAGCTGCTGCACTGCTCTCTCTGGTTTGCACATGTCACAGCACCACAGCCCAGGTCGGCCTTTGCCATCCTCTCCAGGAGCAAGCGGGCACCCTCACTGGGCACCAGCCTGCTTCCTGTGCTGCCTTTGCCACCAGGAAGAGCGGCACTGGCACCTCATCAGGTCTTTTCTGAGGCCTGTGATAGCCCAACACTGCCACCAACTTGCTGTGACATCTTCACCTTCTCTCATCCCCAGCTTCCTTGTCTAAAAAAGAGAAGAAAATCATACTTGGTGATCTCAAAGGCCCCATCGGTGCCTAAAATACTGTGATGATATATGTCGGGCACTGAACAACAGTGAGCAGCCAGCCGGTCAACAAACACTACTTATTAGGCACCTCCTGTATGCCAGGTTCTACTGCTAGTGCTGGGACGACACCAGGAAAAGTCGAGTCCCGCCCTGGAGAACTGACATTGTGGGGGTGCAGGAGATAAGCAATGAGCGCGTCAACAGACAGAGGAGGTGATGTGAGACAGTGTCGTGGACAGCAGCTCAGAAGACTGTAGGTGGGAAGGCCTCTCAGGAGAAGAGAACCCTAAACTCGTGGCTGAATAATGAGGACAGCAGCCATGTGACATTCTGGAGCCGCAGTCCAAGCAGAAGGGCAGAAGGTGGAAAGCCTGGGAGGGAAGGAGGCGTGAGGGCTGGAGGGCAGGAGCCGCGCAGGGCCATGTTATCCAGGTACGCGGGAGCCCCCTGGGGGGGTTGTGACCATGGGAGTGACGGGATCTGAGAGACGCCTGAGAAAGCTTGCCCTGGCCACCATGCAGACCAGGAGTCGACCCGCTACAGGCGACGACTGTAAAGGTGCAGGCAAGGGGCGAGAGCCACCAGGAGACTGGACACGAGATGGAAGGGGAAACGGAAGTCAGGCATCTCCTGCACTTTCCATCTGCGCAGCTAAGAGGATGGTGGAGCCATTTATTGGAACGTGAGAGGCGAGGAGATGTCAGAGGGAAGGGCGGGAGCCTTACCGAATTCCGGTGGGCTACCACTGACATCCCAGAGGAGACGTGGAGGAGGCCGCAGAGCACGAGGCGCTCAAGAGAGAACCAAGGCTAGAAGAAGAAATAGGAAGCCATCATGCCTGGAAGTGCTTAGAGCAGGAGGCGGGCTGGGGTCTCCTCTGAGGAGTGCACAGAGCTGTTCCCATTGCTAGGGAACTGCCTGGGGAGCCCCAACCCTGCAAGGTGGGGAGGAAGCTGAGACCCCAAGAAGGCACCTCCAGGGTCGGAGCAGGGACAGCAGGCGAGAGGTGTGTGGCCTCAGGAGGTCTGCAGAAGAAGGGCTTCCAAGGAGAGATGCTTATAGTGTCCACTGTGCTGAGAGGTTGAGGGAGGAAGGGCAGGTGTTGACCACTGGCTCTTTGGAATGTCACAGACAGTAGTTGTGGGACCTGGGTGTGGTGAGGAAAGAATGGAGGGGAGGAAGCTGAGGCAGTGAGCAGAGGCAACCCCCCAGGGAGGCCAGCTGAGCGGAGGACAGAGGGGTAAGGCTGGAGCTAAGGGAGGCAGGAGGCCAGGGGTGGGTCTTGCTCACTGTAAGTGGCGACTAGGAAGACATGTCAAGGAGTGGCCAGTGGGGAGAGGAGCGGGTGCTGTGGGGAACAGGGGAGACTTGCTGGAGAAACTTCCTTGAGAAAGTCAGCAGAAGCGGTCTCCGGGTCATCAGGAGGAAGGGGCCGCCATTGGATTCCCCTTGGTCCCAGACTCCAGAGGTCAACCTCCATCCCTCCCCGCAAGAGGCCTGCAAGTGAGCAGTCAAGTTCACATCAGGGAGATGTAATCCAGCTCTCTTAGAGGAACAGGTGCAAACCCAAGGTCTCTGTCAGGATGGCGTCTTCCTGGGGCACTGACCCTGACAGTGCAGACACTGCAGCCGGGGGCACATTCATCAGAACCTCGATGGCGAATTGACATTTGTGGTCTTTCAAGTTACCTGATCTCATCTGATGCTCGCCACACTCCTACGCGGCATCCAGAGCCCAGATACCTTCCCCCTTTGACCACAGGAGACAAAGACATTTCGAAGTCAAAGAACCTGCCCAAGCAACCCAGCTAGTGCCTGGCAGAGGCAGGGTAGCCCAGGCTGCTGCTCTCTGCACTGCGCTATGGGGCCTCAAAAAGTCACCGCCACCAAGATGTGCCACTCTGCTACAGGGAGTTGACCTCTTGTCCTCAAGAAGAGGGACCAGGATGGGTGCAGGGGTGACTGTGCCTCCAGCCACCCTGTAGCCGGGAAGTAATTCATCCAAACAAACAAAAATCCCAGGATCCAATTTTCAGTCTTAAAAGGAAAAAAATATACAATGATTCTGGTTTCTAAGTGACAAAGGGAGATGAGGGGGTGATGAGGAGCCCCTTGCCCGCAGTCAGGACGAAGGCCAGCAGGTGGCCCAGGGCCCACCGCCCAGCGCTGCACAGGCGGCCCACTTATCAGGCCACCCTGCCAGGCAACACGGAGCCCAGGAGGCACCACAGCCAAAGCAAACACTCCCCTGCCCTGGGCCCCACTCTTAATTTAGCGTGCAGCACTGTCATGGCTTCTTCAGCCGTGCTCATTACCGGGAATTTGTGACTGTGGGCTGGGAGCAGGAGCCCAGAGAGGGCGATTTAACACGAGCCCCTCCGCTCACAGGCTTCACCAGCCGCGGGATGAATAGACTTGATTTAGGATTCGGGGAAACGCTGCAGAGCACTTTAAATCCCTGCCAGGGGCACGTGAGGACAGGTATATGTCCCCCACAAGGGGCGTTAGTCATCCAGAGTCAAATCTGCCGCTTCCAACTGCCAAGGATGGTTTTTACGTCTGAGGAAATGAGATTAACCCCTTCCTAGAGCCCCCTTAATTCCTGAGTGTGGACATATTTCCACCCAGAAAGGAACCATGTGGTGACCAGATAACCTCAAGCCCCTCTTCTCCCAAGGTGGCAGGAGGAGGCCTGCCAGGGGTCTCCAAGTCCTCGGGGAAAACTTCAGCTCTTGCCTGTGTCCAGGAGTCTTGGGGAGTGAAAGAGCAGGGGGCAGGGAGGAAGGAACCTCAATTCAAACCTCTCTACCCTGTGTGGCCTTGGGCAGTCCCCACCCCTCAGTGTCTGTCACATACAGACTCTACCTTGCCCGGTGGGAGCCCCTCCAGAGATAATGCCCACATCAGTCTCCCAGGAACCGCCAAGCTCCGGAGAGTTCGCAGGGACCAGGCCTCTCTGTGAGGACCGGTCCCACACCCAAGAGTGTGACTTTTTTTTAATGGTGTGTCTGTGGCAGTGCCCTTCTGGGAACACGCAGTAAATCCAAATCCCAATACAAAATGAGAGCTCTGTCACTTGATCTCAGGGAGCAAATGAAAGGAATGGCTTGCTGTCTGTGCTCATGAGGAGCTGTGTCCTGGGGTGCCACATGCTCCCAGCCCTGTTCTGTAGCACTCCTTCCCCACCCCAGTCCCTGCTGCAAGTGCCCGTGGAGGTCGGGGACTGTCCTAGGTGGGGACCGGCTCAGACTCCTGGTTAACTAATCCTGGCCCCGTGCTCGTCAGTGCGCAGGGAAAACATCAGGCCTCAGGCCTGATCGGTCACTACATGCCCCGTGGTGCCTAGTTCTGCCCCCACCAGTCCTTGGACTAGAGACAAAAGCAGTGGGTTTCCACCCTGGCTGGGCATCAAACTCACCGGGGCCCACCCCTAGAGATCCTGAAACAGTGAGGAGGTGTGTGGCCTGGGCATCAGGATTACCAAGGCTGCCCAGAAGTCCCCATGGTGCAGCAGAGCCAAGAGCCACAAGTCCAGAGTGACTGGGTCCACCACCTTCCTCCGCTCTGCCTGCCTACTCTCCCTTCCCATTCTAGGATCCCATTAGGACAGGTCAGATGCCTTAAAAATGAGGCCAGCTGGGCCTTGCACACAGCATTGGACCTGCAGGACCAGGACTTGTGGCCTTAGTGTTCTCATCCTCTTCCTTCCATACCTCCCATGAGCAGCGGGCCACTGAGAATCTGTCTTCTCCAGTATCAGGCAGTCCAAGCCCATACTCTGCCCACTGCCAGGACCCCTGGCCACACCTGGAAGCTGCGTCTGCCTGCTCACCTGTTTCCCGACAGGCCTCACCCCTCAACCTCCCTAACCTCCAATTGTGTAAAAAGCATTCTATTCATTTCTTCACCTAAGGAGCCCATAAATTCCCCGTTGCTCTTATCGTATTAGCCAAACTTTAAGCAGATAAGCTGCCTATAACTCACACTTTATGTGACAGTAAATCTAAGGATTTTGTTAAAGTACAGATTCTGATCCTGTAAGTCTGGGATGGAGCCCCAGACCACATCCCTTAACAAGCTCCACAGGGATCCCAGTGCCTGTGGTCCATGGACCACGCTTTGAGAAGCAAAGAGCCAAGCTAGCTTCCTTGCTTTGTCCAGGAATCCTCTGCTCTGGCCATCAGGACGTGAGGAATGTGAGGCCAGAAGAACTGAGGTGACTTACCCAAAGTCATAACACACATTGGGGACCATCCTGGCTGGAGCTCAGGACCTACAGTTCCCAATCCAGTAAGCCTTCTCCGTAACCAGCTACAGGAGGTGGCAGGACGAGGGTCACATGGCCAGGAGGCACCATCTTGAAATAACGTAATATCTTCAGCAAAAAGCAAGGAGGGACTCTCTCGGGGACTGAGAAGGGCATCAGTGAGAACCATGAAGTTGGGAAAGTTAATGTGGGTGTGTTAATGGTTTGGATATGAGGGGTCCCTCAAAAGCGCCTGAGTTAATGCAGGAGTATTCAGAGGTAAAATGGTTACATTATGAATGTCACCTCCAGCTGTCACCTAGTCAGTCCCTCCTAATTTGAATGGACTAATTGGGTGGTAACTGTGGGCAGGTGGGGCATGGCTAGAGGAGGTGGGGCCGTATGGGCTGCCCTGGAAGAGAGCCACTGCCCCGCGGCCCTTCCCCCCTCTCTCAGCTTCCTGGTGGCCATGAGCTGGCAGCTTTCCTCTGCTGGCCCTGGCCCCTGAGGGGCTGCCTCACCTTGTCCCAGAGCAATGAGTTGACCCAGCACAGACTGAGCCTCTGCAGCCATGAGCCAAAAATAAACCTTTCCTCCTCTAAGTTGTCCTTGTCAGGTATTTTGGTCACAGTGACGAAAAGCAGCCCAACACGGAGTTCCAGCTCGGAGATGAAGTTCTGTGAGGCAGGACACAGCCCCCGGGGGAGTGGCCCACAGTCCTCCCCCCCCCCTTCATTGCTGTGCCTCAGGCACAGCCTAACCTAGAGCATCCTGTCTCCTTCCAGGTCTGGGAAGCAACTGATTTTCTGAGGAGAGTCCAGCCATGTGCTGCCTCAAGAATGAAGTGCAGACAGAGTCACGGCCTCTTGCTTGTGGCTGGGAGCAGCTGATGAACTTGAACCCAGCGGAGGGGAGCTGTGTTTCTTTAGGGATGCTGTTCTGGGGGCGGTCAGAGACGCTGGGCCAGGGCTGCAGGTGACATCCTTCCTGTGGTTGCTGGAGCGGCCGGCAGAGCCAGGTAATGCCGGGAGCTGCTGGCAGGATGAGGCTTCAGATCACTCTCAGTGACGTCACGCGTAGATAACGACAAACCTTTGAGATTATGAGATCATAACGTAGTGGCAAGGGAAGCCCACCGTGGTATGATGTGGGGGATAATAATTAGTTCATTTTAGCTTTTACCAGCCCACTGGCCTGGCCTGTCCCCTAATTTAGAAGCCCAGGAGTGGCTACGGGCAATCCAGGCAGGACTTGGGAGCCCCAGGCAAGGCAGTGCATGGCAGAGCACCTTGATGGCCTCTCTATCTGAGTGGACAGCTCTCAAGATCTGAGAGAGGGCAGCTCGGGCACCACAGGACTCAGCCTCCACCCAGCCACTTGGGGCTTTGCAGGATTTGAGCCAAACTCCCTGTTCACACAGGGAAAGCATGGCTGCCAGGGTCTTGTCTCAGTGAACTGCCCAGCACTCCAGGCACTGGCATACCCGTGGATGGGGCCAGCCCGCAGGAGACTTGGGAGGACTACAGCCTACATCCGGGCTGCAACCTAGCTCCAGCTGGAGGGTGGCAGGGGAGTGGAGAGTGGGTGGGGGGTGGCCCTGGAAAGGAGGCTACCTGAATAAAAGTGCCTGTCCCGTGCTCCTAGAGTCTGTGCTGTTAAGTAGAGGATCTGGTGACCCTGGAGGGAGAGCAGAGAGATAATACGTATAATTGGTTTGCTTGGGTTTTTCTGTCTTTTAGAACTGGGTAAAAAGAGTCATGTGGGAGGAGAGGGATGTGTTCCATCTCAAAGCCAGCCAGGCCTGCAGAGCTGCTCTAGGTCACGCCCTGGCTCACACCATTAGAAAGCTGAAGCAAAGGGAGACACGTCTTGCTGCTCCACAGCCAGCTAGTGGCCAGAGCCCCCCCCTCACCACCCCACCCAGAGGGACCCCCATCCCCTTACTGTTTCATTTTCTTCATCACCAACAGACATATTCTCCTTCTTTTCTCGCCTATTTTTAAATGGCCTGCCACCCGCTAGTACTGAAAGCCCCAGGACCACAGGGACCTGTTCCTCTTGCTCCTTGCTGTGTCCCAGCACAGAATTGGTGCTCAATAAATAGTCCCTCCGTTCACAGAACCAGAATGCAGCTTGCTCTCAGGTCCCTGTACTTCCCTCTGGCTCAGTGAGGGAGTCCCAATGTGGTGAGGATCACCTCCTGGTCCTCGTGATTCTAGGACACACAGTAAGTCCTCAGTAAAGTCTGTAGAACCAGGGGAGGACCAGAGCCCTGATGACCTGATTCTAGAAGGTTCTCCGAGAGCCCATGGTGCACACATATTGATGTGCATGCGCACACACACACACACACACACACACACACTCAGGAGTCCTGAAGATGGTATGGAACCTGCCAGCACACTCTCTGGAAACAGCACCAGTGTTCCTGGCACGCCTTGAGCTGGCTAGAGTCTGTTGACTTTAGCTCTCCCGCTGAGACGTTATCTCCTGGATCCAAAGGCTTTATTGACAGAGATGTGTGGTGCGGCCCCATGCAGGGTGTGAACCAGCCTCCTGGAACAGTCACTATGGGCAGGGAGGAAATGGAGAAGAGAGAAAAACACACAGGTAATCTGGGGCCACTGGATCTTGCTGATCTAGTCATCTGCAAAGCATGCATGGGAACTGGTGAGGAAGCTCCCCACTCCAAAAGGCCTGTCCCTGGTCCCTGTTCCTCCCAGGGGAAGCTGAGCCTGGGGGAGGTGTATGGTAGTCCAGCATGCATCTGCACCCAAGGATGCAGCTGGCCTCTGTGATGGGAGGAACAGGCGAATGCTGAGGTAGGGTGCTCCCACAGTCCACTGGGCTCAGGGGCACCAGGAATAATAAGAAGTCTCTGAGTTCACTCAGGGCAAAATGAAGAGTGTTTCAAAATGTTTCTGGAAAGCAGCCGGGTGGGTGACTCCAGCCCTGTCCTAGCCAGAATTCCCTTGGCTCTATGTTCCCTGGACAGGACGTGGGGGTGGGGGTGCTGGTGAGCTTCCTCAGCTCTAGCCAACAGGGACTTTTAAAAAGCAGATAGAGAAACTGGTACCCTGAACAACGAGTCTTCATTCTTCACCAGCTAGAATAGAATTGGCATCCAAAGCTTTGTCGGGGCCTCGTGTGTTGGAGTATACTTCTCTGCCTTTTAAATTTTGGCCCTGTGTACATAACGTGTATTTAGGATGACATAAGCAGAAGCTTGAAACAGCTTGCAGGGTTAGGCTGTGATTTCTTTCATTCTTGCGATATCTTGAGATGAACAGATCTTGGATAGCTGCCGCTCTTTCAACCTGGACCTTGGAACATACAGAGAAGAAATCTGAGCTGTCTCCAGACTGGAACAGAGCTTCCCAGTGAAGCCCAGTCCAGATCAGCTGAATCACAGCTGACCCAAAGACCTACTGACTTACAAGAATAAATGCTTCTTGGCATAAGCCACTGAGACTTGGGTTGGTTTGTTACCAAGCCTTAATTCTAACAATAGCCGACTGATACCAATATTTAAACCCCAAAACAGTGCATGACTAGAAAGAATGTCTTACTACAAAGAAATCCTCACTACAGAGAAACGCTCAATATCTCTTTTTATATTTATTTTTTAGTTGTATTTGAACACAATACCTTTATTCTATTTATTTTTATGTGGTGCTAAGGATGGAGCCCAGGACCTCTCACGTGCTAGACAAGTGCTCTACCACTGAGCCACACCCCAGTCCATCAATCTATTCTTGCTGCCTGTTGAAAGGCATCTTAGAGTTGGTCGTATATGAAAACAGGTCTACCACTTGCAAACATGACGGAGCAGCAGGGACCTGATTTACTCTCCTGCTTTAAATGACTAAAAGCTGCAGGACACACACAGAACAATGGTTCTTAGACACTGGATAGTAGGAAGTACACGACTTTGACCCCAAGAGAAGGGAAGCAAATGACATGAGCCCTAAGATGGTCCCAACAAACTGCCTACAGACTGCGCTCCAAAGGGGAAAGCTAGGAAAAGCCCAGGGGTTTGCTTGACTCAAAGAAATGGAACTAGGAGTCCAGGGAGACTGGAGTAGCCTCAATTTGCAAGTACTCAGAGGCGAAGAAGAAAAAGAGAGAGCACATGCTCTGGAGACCATCAGAGGGTCACTCTTGGGTCCCCAACTAACTACAGATCTATATATGCATGTGAGGAAGTCATCCAGGGAGGGGAAAAAAAACACGAGAAAGGAGCAGGCAGAATAATTTCCAGAATTAACAAGGGTCTAGGAATAGTTCATGTTCCTAATAGCCAGGGTGGAGAAACCTCTCGAGAGTTAATGAACAGGGACACAGAAGTATATTGCCTTGGAAGTGGAACCAAATAAGCCATAGACAGAATATGACTCTGGTCACCTAACGAAACCTGAAAAGGGTCACATTGTTTCCAGAAATGTTCTAAGTAACTTCACTGAGCCCCCAAACAATGCTCAAAATATTTAAAGTTGTTTTGGGGTTTTTTTGGGTTTTTTTGTTTTTAACACAGCATCCAACAATGTAGAAGTTGTCACATGTCTGGAGTCGAGCAAAAATTACTAGACATGCATAGATGCAAGAAAACATGGCCTTTATTGAAGATTAAAAATGATCAGTAGAAAAAGAAACAGACCCCAGGAAAGACACGGACGCTAGAATAAGTGGAAAGGAACATTTTACAGTGCAATGGATACATGTGGACACACAGGCAGAGGGAGGCCCCTCGCAGGTCCTTATATGGCTCTTTCATCCAGTCATCCCTTGAACAAGGATGAACCGCCACCATGCTAAGTTCTGAGGAGTCAGAGGTGACCAAGACAAGAGAATGTGCCAGCCTTCACCTTCTAACCAGGGAGATGGGCATAAATAAACAAGAGAATCTGAGTGAAGGAGGAGGCAGGGTGGGACGAGATGGGCCTAGGCCTGCTGTCAGCAGGTAAGAACGTGAGAGCGGGGACCGGGCATGGGAAGGCAGGCAGAGGAGGAAGCCCTAGGACTAGGGTTAGGTGTTCTGTGACGTGAGAAGCACGGGACACGAGGCATGGCAAAGGGGATCTGTGGGGACTTGGGCCACATGAGAATGTGGAGTGAGAGAGGTTCCGTGTGTCCGGGGCTGTCAGGGCCCTGAGGCATGGTAGTGCAGAGAGGCTGGCTGTGGATGGTGGGAGCAGAAAACGTACAGGGAGAACTTGTGAGGGCAGCAGGGTTTCCTTTAATGCAGCTCCGCCTGCTGCATGGAGAGTGGCCTCTGCGTGTGGCCCTGAGTGACCCTGGAAGCCTGGGAAGAGGAAGCCGCTCCTGAGTGAACTGCTGTCTTTCGGGATCCCATGGCCCCTTGCCAGCCAGCAGGGTGAGCCCCGGAGGGGACACGGCAAAGAGCAGGCAGCAGGGAGGCTCTGACCCCTTGATTAACTGACCCCTTGTCTCGAGAGGCAGCTCTTCCCCAGGCCAGCCTGGTCCTTCTCTGGCCCCAGGGATATTGTGGGGTATTGTCATCTTTTCTCTAAAACAATCTCCTGGGTTTGTGTTTTCCATCACTGTCCTTAGACTAAAGCAAGAGGGTCTCCTGCCCTCGGCCCCCTACCTTAGGGGAACCTACGCTGTGAGTGCTTTGCTGGAAACTACCGAAGTCTCCCTCCACGCCAGGACCAGGCGTGGTCAACGCCCGTCATCCATCCAGACAGCTCCTAGCAGCCGGCACAGCAGAGCACGCCTGTAACCCCAGCAACTGGGGGCGCTGAGGCAGGAAGATGGCAAGTTCGAGACCAGCCTCAGCAACTTACAGAGGCCCCTGAGGACTTAGTGAGACCCTGTCTCAAAATAAAACATTTTAAAAAAAATGTTTATATAGATGGAGTGCCACAAAAAATATTTACCAGGACCCAAGACCCACTCGTGCCTGAGAGCGACCCCCACCCTGTCCCTGCCCTTCAGTGGGTCAGCTCATTATCCCTCCCAGGCCCTGGGGAGGCCCTGCTTCTCCCAGGGACCGAGAGGAAGTCTGTCTTGTCCTCACCCCTCATCCACATCCTGGTCCACATCCTCCCGGGCTCTGGCTGCCTCAGTCCAGGGCCTCTTGTGGCTCTGGGTTCTTCCAGAGTCTGAAGAGGTGAGAGGATGCAGGGGACTCAGTGCTGTGGGCTTCCAGTGCCACCATGAGAGAGGGGGCCGGCCTTCCCACTCTGGTCTGTCTACTGTGCCTGGACAAACTGGCCAGCCCTCCTTCAAGGGTCACAAAGGAACCGTATCCCTGCAGGAGCGGCAAACCAAGTGACCAAGAAAAGGGGTGGAACACTTGGAGTGAGTGACAGTCAGGGCCCTGCCCACATCCCCATCCTCCTCAGGCCTGCGCAGCTCCAGGGTCAGCGCCCAGCTGCACCCACGGCCTCCCGCCCTGAGCACCCGCTCTCCACCTGGAGGCTCCCTCCCGGGCTGCAGAACAGGAGTCGGCTCCTCAGAACAAACCTCACCAGGGAGGCTGAGCACTCCAGCCTCTGACCCCTCTGTGGGCCACCCTGGGGTGTGCTCTGCCCAGTCTCCCTGGCATCCCAGCGGGTGGAGCCCCAGAGCCACGGCAGTCACCTGTCCCTAACACACCCATGCAGTCACTGTCCCTTCCCCGTCCCACTTCCCTGCGGGGCTTCTGAGGTCACTTCCCAGCTCAACACCCACGCCGTGTCTCAGGATCTGCTCGGAGGAAGCCCAACATAGGCCACGGCGCCCGTTTCAGAATCCTGGGTGTGGGGCTCTCAAAATCAAGGTCTTGGGAGGGAGAAAATGGGAGCCCCCCATTCAACCAGAGTCCCCTCTTAACTACTTGAAACTGAGGCTCAGGGAAAGGAATCCTGTCCCTACAAAAAAAAAAAAAAAAACCCACTGGCAATCACTGAACAAGATCAATAACAGGTGTGTTTGCTCGTTCGATTGGATGCTTTCCCTCGAATCAGCCCCAGCTTCCACGTCATGCTGATGGTCAGGGAGTGAGCTGGACCTCTTCTGAGATCCTTCTCTCTGGTTTCCAGGGCAGAAAGAGACCCAGGCAAAGCGGCACCTCCCCTGTCTCCACTAGGATGCACTCCTACGCCTTTGCCCTGGGGACCTCCAGGCGCCCCAGCACCCTCGACTAGCACCTGCTGCTTGGTGCTACGAGGTGGGATTAGGTGGGCTGTTAGGGAGGCAGGATCAGAAACCAAGGGCGCTCCTCCTCTCACCTGCCCTTTCCCCTACAAGGCACGCACCTGGGGCCTGTGGTTCTGTTTTAGAAAGTGTCCTTTTGCATCTGTGCGGATGTCTGTGGTGTGACTCCATAAGTGAATACCTATGTCCGATGGCGGAGGGGTGGGGGCAACTGGTCCTCTCCCTTATCTCAGGGCTCATTCAGATGGAAGGAGGCCCGGGCCAGGCCTCTCTATTTACTCTCATTCTCTGCCCATTGTACATGGAATTGATCTGGGGGTTCTGTTTTTCGCCTTTTCCCTCCAATCTCCCTATTAGTTCAGCCTCAGGTAGCCCCTTATCACCTCCGGATGTCAGACAGCACTCAGCCATCAGCCAGCCGGGCCATGTGAGATTCTCCATTAATTGATTTTGCCCTCCCCTCCTGGGAAGCTCAGATTGTCTCTGCCCATTAGCAGCAATAATTCCCTGAAAGGAACCATAAATCATGTCCTTGTCCATCCCTTGCCCAGCAGAGGGTGCCCACGTAGGGAAGTGTTGGGCAGCAGAGGCCTTGCAGTCTGTGGGGTCGCTCCTCCTAAACCCAATGACAGGTCCCAGCACACAGAGGACCCTCTGGTAGCGTGCACAGCCTGAGTACAGGAAAGGAGCCAGGGCGGGGGGAGGAAGAGGGCTCCGGTGGTGCAGAGAGCTCCGAGGACCTCAGGAGTCAGCATCTCCCTCTGATTCCCCCATTGGATTCCACTGTTTGAGGCCTTAGGGGTTTAAAAGTCCTGCCTGTTGAACTGGACATGCTTCTGCAAAGACTCTGTCCTAAATCCTGGTCAGGCTGAGGCTCGAGGGGCTTTGCTTTGGTTGGTTTGTGAAACTCTTGAGTGTAAGAGGAAGATGTGAGAAGAGAGTAGACAGGCAGGAGACCAGATGGGCACAGGAGGGACACCAGGGAAAGCAGGAGGCCATCATTCTGACCTACTCTGCAGGACTGTGTCGCTTTGCCACAGCTAGTGCCGGAGGTTATCGAGAGATGGTCCACGATGAGCGCAGTGTTTTGCCCGCAGTGAACCTGGCACCACTTCCTGCCCAGGACCTGAGGGAGGGAGGAACCCCAGGACAGAGGCTTCAGTCCTACCCCTACCCCAACCTGTCACAGGCACCTTCTGACCACAGCCTCACCCTGTGTCCCATGCAGATAGATCCCCCCCCCCTTTCCCTTCATCTCTTCCCCTAGGACAACCATCCCTACCAGACTGAGGCCAGACCCACGGCGGATACTAGGAGCTAAAGAGATTGCTCTGTCCCACCCGGGGGGTCCTCAGGCATCAGCAGATGGACATTCTAGATGCCCATGAGAGGACTCTGCACATATTGTGCTTCTCCAGAGCAGTCGAAGAGGGTTTGATGGTCACCAGGCCTTTCAGGAAAATACCTTGGAGAAAGCCAGGAACTGGCGAGTCTGTGGTAGAGGGTGCTGTTGGCCCCGTCTCTCCAAAAACACAAGGAGAAACCACAACAAGCCACATGCCAGCAAGGAGCGCTGGGGGCACTGCGAGGTGGGGCCTGTCCAGGAAACTTCAGAGGATCCACACAGCCTCGGGAGTTCAGAGTCAGAAGGACTCCTGAGAAGATGGGCTTGGGTCACATCACCTCCTGTCAGGGCCACACCTAAGTCACAGACATAGTGGCTTTCCTCAGCACTCGTTACAGCATCAGGATGTTCTGTGTGTGTGTGTGTGTGTGTGTGTGTGTGCGCGCGCGCGCGTATGCATGCATGTGTGTGTGTGTCTCTGTGTGTGTTACTAGGGATTGAACCTGGGGGTGCTCTACCACTGAGCTACATGAGCAGCCCTTTTTATTTTTTGAGACTCGCTAAATTGCTAAGGCTGGTCTTGAACTTGTAGTCCTCTTGCCTCAGCCTCCTGAGTCTGGCATCACAGGTGTGCAGCCACCACCACGCCTGGCTGGGACATTTAGAGCATGAGAGCTATACTTAATAGTTGGGTTCATTTGGACAAAATCATACATGCATGGAATTTGATTGACTCCATTTCAGTCCCTGCTCCTCCCCCTTTCCCTCCCCTCCTTCCTCCCCCTTCACTCTACTGATCTTCCTTTGGCTTGT